CCTCTTTGGTAGCTTCAATTCTGCAGTCAGATTGTTCAGTATTGTCTAGAATCTGGAATGTTTGTGATGTCTGCCCTATGCTTTTTTTTTTGAAGGTTTATTTTATTTATGCATACAGAATTGGGGTACAGGCCAGAGGTGCAGTGGGGGTGAGTGGTTTTAAGCAGCCCTAGAAGATCCACACCTCTGTTTTATTGATAAGTCAAGAAGGGTTAACTCACTTGCCCAAGGCCAGCTAGTGGGGGTTGGGAGTGGTGTAGGGGGGTAGTGAAATTCAAGCTAACTTCTATGTGTTTCTAAGAAGGAAAAATGGCACAATAGCTAAGATATGGCATCAACCTCAATACCCATCCACAGATGAATGGATGAAGAGGTGGTATATGTATTCAGTGGAATACTATTTGGCTATGAAAAAGATGAAAGCTTGCCACATATTCCAAAGTGGATGGAACTGGGGTGGGGTTTTGTTAAGTGAAATGTCAGAAAATGAAAGATAATGATCAAATTTGAACTATAAAAACCAAAGCAAACAAGTCACAACAAAAATGACTCTGGGGCCCTCCCTGGTGGTACAAGGGGTTAAAGTGTGTAGCTCTATGAAGCTATTTGCATCCTCTGGGCATGAATTTGATCCCCAGCCAGGGGGCTGACCACCCAAGTCTCGCCCCTGCTCCCCTCAGCAGTGTATCTCAGCAGATCTGCCTATCCTGCTCCCCACTCTGTCTCTGGCGAATCCTCTCACCTCCCCTCCCCCCACACCCACACCTCTGGCCTGTACCATCTGTCTTTTTGTATGCATAAATAAATCAATCTTAAAAAAAAAAAAAAAAGACTGACTGTCTGACTCTGAAAAATGGAGCAGTTGCCAGAGGGGCAGGAAAGGGATGTCCAGGAAATTCCCACCGGCCTTTGAGGAACTCTGGAGGGAGCATCACTTTAACCTGAAAGACTTGTGGGTTCTTCCTGCACCTGATAAAATCCTTGAACTCAGGACCGGTGTGTTCATGGTCTGGGAGGGGCTGTGTGCCTCAAGACTGGAGGAGGGTTGCTAGGGGAGACTAAACCATAGGCCTCCAAGCCTTCTCAACCCGCCCCATTTAAGGCGCATCTGCATTCAAGTTGGCAGGTGCATTGTTCCTAAGGGTATTCAGTAAAGCAGCTTACACTTAAAACCAGCACAGCAGGTGGACAAAGTCCTGTTTGGCATTGCTTGGTGTGCCCCTGGACACAACTCTTCACTTTATGACCTGGGAATCACATTTTCTAAGGCGTCTTTACTAATAAAGCCTATGGAAACTGGGGGGTGAAGGGGGGTGAAGACAGCAGACTGTCTCTCCTGATGTCAAGTTATTTGGAATCTGTCCCCTGATTGTGGCAAGGGGCAAGCTGGGGGCTGGAGCCAGCCCTTCCTGATGGTGGAGAAGCAGAGTCATATTGCTCCTCACGCCTCAGGGGGCTCCCCAGGGAGCTGGGACAGTCACTTCTGTGTGTCCTGTGAAAGCGGAAGTTGGGCCCTGGGGTGCATCTGTGCCTAGGCCCCCTGGAGGCTCTCCCAGACTACTTCAGCTCCCTCTTCCCCGCCAGCTGTATCCCCCCTTGGTAGTAGAAGTCTCGGCCACTTGGGTGCTGGAGGACCTGGCACTGGGTGAGTTACTTCACAGTTGTGCAAAGGACCCAGGCTCTATCCTCTCATTCCCTCTTCTGGGTAACAGTACCCAAAGGACAGTGCAGGCAGCAAGCATAGCCGGAGAACCAAGACACCCCAAAGGGACAGTAACAGCACTCCCCCTTGTGTTAGCCTGGATTCCAGAATTCTGCTTTCCTAGAGAAGTAGCAAGGGAACACATGCATAATTAAAAATTTCATGTAGTGTCATTAGAAATGTAAAAAAGAAACTGATGATCATCTTAAAGTACAGAACTGGGTATACTGATGGATAGTGCAGCCACCGAACTCCAAAGCCTCGTGCCTTGGAAGAAACTGAAAGCACTGGAGGAAAGATGGGGTCTCTCTGTTCCCCCCTGCCCCCCCTGCCCCCCCAAGGAAGGGCAAGGCCAGCATCATTCTGCACGTCAAACTGCCCATCTCCAAGAGACTGAGCAGATTCGGCCCTTCTGAGCTTCTGTCTCTGCAGAATGAGAATAATAACTGTCTACTTTGTAAAGCTGTTTTGAGGATTATATAGATTATCACTAAAGCTTAGTGTAGCACTAAAAATACAAGTCCCAGTGAAATCTAGTGATTCATTTATCCAACAAATATTTATTAAGTACCAACTAGCAATATTCCAGATACTAGGAAAACAGCAGTGAACAAAACAGACAAAAGTCCTGCCCTCACGGAGCTTACATTCTAGCCAAGGGAGATCAACCTTAGATAATAAATGTAACATGTACATTATAGAGCAGTGTTGTCCTAGAGAAGAAACCTGTGGACACATAATGAACGATTTCTGGTAGTACCAGTTAAAAAGGTATAAAAGAAACAGGTGACTGTGTTCCTATGAGCTGACCTTTTCTGGGCAACTGTGACCTACTTGCTATCTGAAAATCACAACAGAGCATTCCTGCCTGACTACCTATGGACAATAGCCTGTATCAGGAGGGGGGCCTGGATGCCAAGGCTGCTGCTGACCTGATTCTGCGACTATCTCCAGCCAGTCCAGCCAGACCAGCTTGGTGGTCTCAGGATAACTCTGCTTGTGATAACTTCAACACATACATTGTGCTGACCCAAATATTTCTTAATGTATGCTTCTCTGTCCCTTGTGAACTTTGTCCCTATACCCCTGACCTTATTCCTCATACCATTGTTACAGGATCAGCTTTTACTAGCCTCTGTGCTTTCAACAAATGGCACAATAACTTCTCAAGTAGCAGAGTCTTGCCTTGGAAACCTGCTCCACAACTGTGTGTCCCTCATTGTGTTCCTGTCACAACAGGTGATCACCTCAGAATTGGGGGGGACACATATAGATGATGGAATATTACTCAGCAAGGAAAAAGAGAAACAGGTGAAATAAATGTTCCTAATTTTTAATTTTGAAAAATTGAAAAAAATTTACATTTCAACCAATATTTCCAAAATCTTGTCACTTCAAGCTGTGGCATTGACTGTGCTCAACAGGCACAGGTGGCTCGTGTATTGGGCAGCACAGTTGTGGTGTATGTTAGAAGGGGAGTGTGTGAAGACATAACTCAAGGTCCGGATGCTGACGTAGCAGGTAGGGGAACAGAGAGATATGGAAGGTGGTCTTGAGCTCCACTATCATTGTTAACCAGCCTCCTCTCCTCTCTGCTGGTCTGGCTGGACTGCAGAAATGGTCTTGTGACCAAGGGCACATTTTCTCTTGCTCCCTTGCCAAACACGACCTTGGTTCTGCAGCCCCGAGAGAAATGCAGACACTCAGGAAATGCACTTGCCTGTGAGTCGTCCTCAGCGCTCTCCTGTCTACTCCTGGGCACACCCCCAGTTTTGGGGTGCTAGAGATCAATTTCAGGGATTCTGTTAAGGCTCTGACTGCAAGAGGGAAGATGTAGGTTGGGGTGGTAAAATGATGGGTTTTGCCAGAGCTGGAATTAGGAATTAGGAATTAGGGAGAGAAGCCAGCCTTGGAACATCTCTAAAAATCTTTAATCATTTGTTCATCACAAGTTTTGCATTAATTAAACATATTTTTAATTGACATATATACCATACAATTCACCCACTTGAGGGCCCTCCCTAGTGGCGCAGCAGGTTAAAGCACAGCACTAAGAAGCTAGAGCCACTTCACCATGAGTTCAATCCCCGTCCTGGAGGTGACCCGCATGCCACAGCAGACCTCTCGCGACCCGCCCACTGCTCCCCTCAGCAGTATACTTTGTCGATCTGCCTGTTCTGCTCCCCACTCTGTCTCTGGTGAATCCTCTCACCGCCCCTGAACCTCTGGCTTGTAAAAAAAATCCACCCACGTGAAGGTGCACAATTCGGTGATTTTTATTACATTTATGGAACGGCATAACATTCTCCCAGTCCATTTTAGGGCATTTGCAGCACCCCCAGAGAGACCCTGCGCCTACTAAGCTGCCCCTCCCCATTCTCCCTGGCCCCAGCCCCAGGCGTTGGCTTGCTGTCCATGCCAGCACGCCATTCCTCTTCCTGGCTGGGTAATATTCCACAGTGTGGCTAGACCATGTGTTCTTTATCCATTCATCTGTTGATGGATATTTGTGACTTTCCTACTTCGGGGCTATCATGACAAATGCTGCTCTGAACAGGCACGTTCCAGTTCTGTGTGGACATCTAGCTTACCTGCTTTCGTGTTTCTTGTGACTTTGCAATGTATTGTATAAGCATAGTGCTTTTCCTGATGACTGGGTTTTTTGGTGCCCTCAACATTTTCACCCCAGTCAAGGGCCTCACTGGCTTCACCTCATTACCACCCCTCAAGTCTCATCCCTTCAGAGCCTGGGTTGCCTCCTCTGTAAAAAGGGAGAGTCCCTGTAGCTCTTACAGCTGTTGGGATGATGGGAGGTAATGACGCACGTTCCAGACCCAGCACACAGTAGACGAGCGAACACGTTTTCACTCCGTAGAGGCTGGTGCTGGGTTAGGGTGGGGCCATTCTCAAGATGGAACTGAACTAGCTCTCCCCTTGAGGACAGCTGGCCCACCTGCCTGGAACTCCCCTCCGCTCCTGCTCCCCGACACCTCCTGTTTTTGCTCTCCTGCCTAGGCCTGACCCCCTACCAGGTCCTTGGCGGGGGACCTGATTCTGCCCTCCTGAAGACCTCCCCAGCCCCTGGCACCTTCTGTCCCGCCACCCTGGGCCCCGACGCTGCTCCCCCACCCTCGCCAGCCATTCCCAGCGAAGGCCGCGCTCCCTGTCCGCTGCCTGCCATGAGGCCTGTGCTTTGCAGGGCTGAAGTCCAAAGTTCAGCCCCTTCGTTAAGCACACGGATAAATATGAACCTTGGAGAATTTCCCCAGCTCCAATGTAAACAGAGCGGGCAGGGGCCCTGATTCACTGGCCGCTGGGGCCAGGGTAGGGGGTTGGGGGTGCCCACAGGGCTTGGCTAGTGGGGTTTGGGGGGGCAGCGGATGCAAGGAGCCTGGCTGGTGCCCGCCTGCTGGCTGGCCGGTAAGTAGGCAGGCCACGCGGTGGGGGAGGCGGCCAGCTTGGTGGCCCGGCGCGCGTGGTCCAGTGGACAGAACCATGGTCTCTAAGCTGAGCCAGCTGCAGACGGAGCTCCTGGCCGCCCTGCTGGAGTCAGGGCTGAGCAAAGAGGCGCTGATCCAGGCGTTGGGTGAGCCGGGACCCTACCTGTTGGCTGGAGATGGCTCCCTGGACAAAGGGGAGTCCTGCGGCGGTCGCGGGGAGCTGCCCGAGCTGCCCAACGGGCTGGGGGAGACGCGGGGCTCCGAGGACGAGACGGATGACGATGGAGAAGACTTCACGCCACCCATCCTCAAAGAGCTGGAGAACCTCAGCCCGGAAGAGGCGGCCCACCAGAAAGCTGTGGTGGAGACACTGCTACAGTAAGGCCCCCGCCCCGCGCCCCGCGCCCCGCGCCCAGCTTCCGAGAGGAGCTGAGGCCCCCGCTCCCCTCCCGAGCTGCTCTCCAGAGCTCTAGGGGCCCTGGCTTTATCCTCACTGTGGGGAAAGGGGCCAGGGCCCACGGGAGCTGGGTCGGGGGTGGGGGTGGGCGTGGGCGAGTCCCTGCTGTGGGCTTGGGGCCTCCCCAACCTGGCTCTCTGCAGAGTCCCCAGTTCCTTGAGAGCTAAGGCTTCCAGCCCAGTGCTCGGGCATGGGGACAGGCCCCGCCAGCTCCTCAGCGGGGCAAAGGCAGGAGAGTCCGCAATTCAGGTGCCCCGAGAGCCAGAGGGTGGTGGGAGCTTTCAGCCATCTCCCAAAACCCTAACTAACTCTCCCCACACCCTAACTTCCCTGCTAAGTGCTAGGTTGCAGGCTCTGGGCTGGGAAGCATGATAGGGGAGCAGGCCCTGGGGTTTGGGGGGCCTCCCCGGGCTGCTCTGGAGATTCGAGCATTCAGCCAAGAAAACCCAGGTCTTCCTTACCTGGAGGAGACAGAATCTGAGCTTGAGCTGCACTCCTTCCCAGAACAGCCTTAGGCCCCCATCCCACCCATAGGTGCCATTAGAGGCTTCCTGGCTATGTACCCCCATCTCCTGGCTGGCTCCCCATCTCCTAGAGAACTGGGTGGGTCTGAGCCCAAAGCCTCCCCTCTCCTCATCAGAGCTGACCTGGTTACTAATTACCCACGGGCGTTATTATTTCTCTTTTGTTTTATAAATTTATAAACAGCAAAAGGCTCTGATAAGGCCTGTGATCATTAACTTGTAGGGCTGGTGGCCTGGGAAGGCCTGGGTCAACCAGCCTGCCCCCCAATGGGGGGTGGGGGTTGGAGGGTGGGGTGGGGAGGTGGCTGGGGGCTGCAAGGACAGCCCCCTGAACACGCAGACCCTCTACCCCCACGGCTGCTTACGCTTGGGTTCCTCGCTAGGATTTTAGAGAATGTTGAGGGGAAACCTGGGAAGAAGTCATGGGGGCTCTGACAGAACAGAGGCCCAGAGAGGGCAGTAGCTTGGTCAAGGTCACCCAGCTGAGGCTCCACACGTCGTGCTCGTAGACACTGTGACTGGAGGCGGGGGCCTGGCTGCGTGGGGTTGGGGGTCTGAGGGAGAGCCCCAGAGATGCTCGGCAGGGGGGCCACCTCTTTTCTGTTTAAGGTCCTGGCCCCAGCTGGGGGTGGCGAGGTCCCGTGCCCTCCTCAGGGAGGGCTCAGGGTCTGCCAGGCCTCAGGAGGGCCTGGGCAGGGGGCAGGGGCCCAGCTAGGGTCCCCTGACTTGGCAGGAAGTAGAGGGCAAAGGGCTGCCGGGCCGCAGGGGAGGGGCAGGGCCAGACCCAGGGCAAGGGCAGCAGGACAGGGATGGGGTGGGGCTGGCAGACCTGGTCAGGGCCCCGGACGGCATTGGGAGCCTTTGGGTGGGAGTGGGGGCTGGGGGTGCCAAAGGCCTTTCTTACCTGACTGGGTGGGGCCTCTTGATCAGCAGCCCCTTGGGTGGGATGGTGGGTGGGGGGGTGGCTTGATCCACAGCACCTGAGGGGGGGAGCAGAGGTCAAAGTGCTCCCTGGGACCAGCAGAGAGAGACCTGGAGGCTGAGGGAGAGAGGGGGAGACAGGCAGGAAGGCAGAGGATGCCCAGGGAGATGGAGAGAAACGGGGCAGCTGAGAGCAGAGAGCCTGGAGGGGAGAGGGGCTCACGCCCAGTTGGGAGAAGGGGCTGGGGAGAGAGCAAGGCGCCCCAAGCTGAGAGGAGGCTGGAGTGTTTCTCCACTGCCCCGACTGGGTTTTCTTTAATGCTAACAGCATGCTATTTACTTTCCATTTAAATTTGAGATGTTGCTATAAATTATCAACCAGCTCCTTGTTCCTGCGGAGTTTATAACTAACTACCTGGGTTACTTATTGTTCAGGTAACAAAAGGGATCTGAAAACGCCCCAAGGGAAAAAAGTGGGCTTCCAGCCTCAGGGCACAGGAAGAAAGCTGAGGGGTTGAGGTGGGGGACCCCCATAAAGTCTGGATGGAGGCGGGGAAGGCTGGGCAGAGGCAGGACTTCAGGGAACGCCACTTCTCTGAGAGGACAGTGTCTGGGGGATGTGGGGACAGGCCTGGGTTCCAGGTCTCTCTGGGGTACCCCCAGTTTGAGGCCACAGCAGGAACTTGAGCTCTTCCCTCAGCTCTTCACCTTTACTTCACCATGTGATCTTGGGCTAATCTCGTCTCTTTCTGCCTCAGTTTTCCTACCTGGTCAATGACTAAAACCCAACTCCCTGTCTTGGTTGTCTGACCTCTTCCAAGGGACTCCTCTCCCTCCCTTGCGTCAGTTACATTCACTCTGCTGACCCCTACCCCAGGGCCTTTGCACATGCAGTTTCTCTACCTGGAATCCTCTTTCCACACCTTCCCATGATCCATTTCTTCTCTTTCTTTGGTCAAATATCACCTCCTCGGGGAGGCCTTCCCTGATTGCCCCCATCTAAAGGCAGTCACTTGGCTCCTAGTTCTCTCTCTTCTATTACCTTCTTTTACTTTATCCTTTCCCTTATTGTGATGAACATCGAAGGTGTCTGTGTTCTATTTCCTGCCATGAAAAAAGCAGCTCTTTGGGGGCAAGGCTTGTGTTGGCTGGTTCACCACTCATACTCACTCATAGCCAGCCTGGTGGCTGGCACACAGCATAAATAGAATGAGGGGGTAGGATTCTCTGAGTCCCTGGGGATATCTGCTGCCCCACTGACCAGGGGCCTAGGGGACTAAAGCCGTGGTCACAGGGCTCCTTCCTGGGTGTTCTCCTAAGCCCTCGCTGTCTCTGGGAAGCTCCAAGTATAACCTGGAGGCCTCTGATCTTCCCCGTCTGGTGGTGCTGGGCATTGAGACCCAGGAGTCAGCAGGCAAGGCAGGACAAGCTGACGTCCAGACGGAGGCCAGTCTGCCTGGGTCTGAATCCCAGCTCTGCCCTGTGCTAGCTTGGGCTGGTGCTTTCAGTTTACTGAGCTCAGTTTCCTCTTTGAGGTCCGGGTGATGCAAGCACCCATGCACAGGGGTAAAGAGCACAGTGTGCTTTGGGGCGGCGGGGAGTGCCTGGAGTCAGTGCAGCTGATGGTGGCTGTCACCCGCGGCTGATGAGCCGCTCACGGAAGTGAAGTGACTTGCCAAGGTCACTCCTACAAAGTAGTGAGGCCAGGACTTGTGCCCAGGTCCCCCGCGCCCCACATCCAGCACAGCTCAGCCCGAGGGCAGCATGCGGTCCGTTCAGCCCTCCACTGACCTCTCCTGCGGCCCTCCCACTCATGCTTGCTGTTCAGCATCACCATCCGCTCGTGTTCACGCCCCCTTCGGTGCTCACACAGCGCTTGCGGATGCGCTAAACTCAGTTTCTTTTCCTGACAGCCTATGAGCGATTATTAACCGCATGCCGCAGAGGAGGAAACTGACACACCGGGAGGTTAAGCAACTCCCAGGCCACTTAGGGTGCTGGGGTTCAAAGTGAGATCGAGGGTCCGGTACTGAGAACTCTGCTCCTCTTCCAGGGGCTTGGCCCCTAAAACCCCAGGTGCTGGCTCAGGAGAGTCCCAGAGCCTTAACCTGACTCTAGAATCAGTAGGTGGGAGAAGGGGCAGGAGAGGATCGCAGGTCTCCTGGGCCCTCTTCTCTCTGCTGTGGGGCAGGGGCCGAGAGCTGCAGGGGGTGGTGGTGATGAGGGTGAGGACATGGTGAGGACTGGAGCAGCCGTCTGGTAACTGAGTGCCTGGAGCGCTGAGCCCAGAGCGAGGCGTTCACTCCCCTTTGAAACTCATTCACTTCACCCACTGGCACAGTGGGCAGGTGCGGATTCCCTGTGTTCGGGAAGGCAGGTGGGCTGTGCAAGGTCACACAGGTGTGGGGGTCACAGTGGTGGGACTTGAACCCTGGTTGTTTTGAGCCTCAGACTCATTAAACTCAAAGCCCGAGGTGCCTGGGGGCTTGGCCTCTTAGCTCTGAGTTAAGGAAACTGTCTTGAAAAAAAGTCAGGTGTTTGAGGACTGTGTGTGTGTGTGTGAGTTGACATGGTGCCGCCAGATGGGTGAGAATGAGATGGAAAAAATGGAGAGAACGGAACACAAAGATAGCAGACAGAAGGGATTGGGGCACAGTGACAGCAGATCTTTAGTCTGAGCCCAGGAGGGGTCTTGCTGAGAGGGGACCCAGCTCCTTCTCTCGGGGGAGGGCGGGAGGGAGGGTTGCTGCAGAGGGTGGGGAGCTGTGGAGGCGGGAGGCCATGGGCAGTGCAGCCCCAGAATCAGATAAACGTGTTTGCCGTGGAGCACAGGGCTGGACTTTGCCCTTCCCTTCCCTCCCAGCTCTGGTGCGTCCAGGGCGCAGGGGAGGTGGGGAAGCCGGATCTGGGAAAAGCAGAGACGGGGGGTTTGGGAGAGTCTGGGGGCTCGGGGAAAAGTGGGATATTCTTGAGTCCCAGCAGGTCACCTGGGACGTGTAGGGCTCTCTACGTCTTAGTTTGCTCACCTGTGAGACCTGCTTTGAGTACTCCGCTTTCTTGGGTCACAAGGTGTCTAAGCCCCGCTCGCAGCCCAGTGCCTTCCAGAAACATCCCTCCTCGCACAATCATTTTTCCACGAATGGGACTTTGCTGGCCAGTTCACGTTTTATCTGTCTCCCCCTTCCTTCTCTTGTCTGTGTGGGAACCGCAGGTAAAAGCGGAAGAAAGCATCAGGGCCAAAGCTGATGGAAGGCTCAGCGTCCCCACACCTGAGGGGGAAACGGGAGTGGGGGGGTGGGGGGCGGGGGGGCGTCAAGGCAGAGCGCCCTTTGAGGGACGAGGGGAGGGCTGGCAGAGAGGGCAGCTCGGTGGGCTTCAGAGTGCTGGGGGTTTACCCGCTGTTCGCTTTCTACAGTTCAGTTTTGTCTGTCACATGCGGGTAATAACATTACGCATATTGTAACGCGTGTTGGAATATTAGCGGTGTAGTGCAACATCAGCATTGTGTTATAGCAGAGGACCCGTATTATGACATGTTACACGATTTTAAGAGCACGGAAGAGTAACTGCCCCACCCACCCTGTCCTCTGTACCCCGTCCTCTCAATCAGTGTTGACACTTCCTTCTGGGCACTTTGGCATTTCATGCAAGTGTGAGCAAGTATGTAGAAATCTTCCTTCACTCCACGTTAAATTGCGTGCCATTTTATATGCATTTTATATGCCACCAGACAGTCCCTGGTCCCTCGGGGGGCCTGCAGGGCGCCAGGCGGCGTGAGGACCTTAGGGGTGCAGGGGTGGGGTGAGGGTGGAAGATAAGGAAGGCACCACAGTTGAAATAGCACCCTCCTGCTGGGCACCTACCTTGTCTCCAGGCTTGGGCATTGGCAAGTGACATGCAACACACTGCTTCCTACTGGTGCCGTTTGCACAACTGCGAACATCAGAACACTCACATTCTAGAAGCACATTGCAGAGTGTGGGGGTGGGGGGGGGATGCTATGATGCACTAGGCCAGACTGAGTTCAGGTCCCAGCTTTGCCTGTCGAGCTGCTTTAATGTGATACGTGTTTGTAATATAAGTGCAGGAGGGAAGAACAGCGGAGGCGTGGGTGAGGGGGAATGTCTGTGTCAAAGGCCATCTGACTCTTCCCCTCTGCAAACAGAGGGTGGGACTCTGAGCCAGGCTGACCCCCAGCCCCTTGAGTCTCTCTAGAGAATCTCAGCCTAAGAGTGGGATTCTGAGCTTCCCTGGTGGTGCAGGGGTTAGTCAGCGCTATCCAGCCCCTGTGGCATGAGTTCGATCCCCGGCCAGGATGCTGACCCACATGGTGCAGCAGACCTCTCCTGTGTTGCTCACTGCTCCCCTCAGCAGTGTACTTAAGTACATCTGCCTGTTCTGCTCCCCACTCTGTCTCTGGTGAATCCTCTCACCTCCTACACCTCTGGTCTACACCCCGGTTCTTGTATGCATAATTAAATAAAAGAAAAACTTAGAAAATAGGTGGGATTCTGGTGGTTGAACATGCACATCTCACGCAGTGAGGCTGCTGAGCACCAGCCCACAGCCCCTTCGCCTGCTGCGGGGAATGTTGGGCCACGTCCAGGGTTGAGTGCAGACTGTCAGGAAGTGAGACCCTGTACGATTTTTTACCTGATTGTTTGACTCAGAACTGAACCCTCTGGGTGGAGTGGGACTCTGCTGGTTGCTTCTGTGACTTCGCAAGAGATGCAGAGCACGTACTTCCCTTCAGCTGTGAAGTGGGAAGATCCTGTTTTTGCCTTTTCAGACCCCATTTTTCTTCCTCATCCATCCATCCATCCATCCATCCATCCATCCATCCATCCATCCATCCACTTGCTCCTCCCTTTGTCTGTCCAACAGTCTGTCTATTCACCCACTCAGCACCTACCAATTTGCCCATCCATCCCACCCATCCACTCATTATTCATGCATTCATCAAGGGCACACTCTATGCCAGGCCTAGTTTGAGCATTGAGAACCAGACAGTTCTTGTCCTCAAGGTGTTTGCAAGCCCTCACAGTGGATAAGTACACTTGGATAAGTGGATAAGTCATAGGTAGCATTACTAGTGGGATGAGGAGAAGCGTTTTAAAGAAGCTAAGTGGCCCGTGCAACTTCCTGTGGGAGTCTGTTCGTGTCTATGTCTCGGTCCGACTCTGTGTACCATGCTTCCAAATCTTTCTCTGCCCCCATGTCTGTGTGAGAGGACCGAGGCCTGTACCCACATGTCTGCTGTGTGTGTGTGTGTCTGGAGGTCTGTTACCCCATGTCTGTGTGTATCGTCCCTGGGTCCTGGCATGAGAGCCCATGCCACCCTCTCCCTGGGTTCAACTCCTAATGGCCTCCACAATGTCCCCTCCCAGGGCTGTCAGGGTTTATAGCATCCAAGACCCCCAGCCCACCTGCACCCCCACTGAGTGGGCTCCATCTTACCTGCTTCTAGGGAGGACCCGTGGCGCGTGGCAAAGATGGTCAAGTCCTACCTACAACAACACAACATCCCCCAGCGGGAGGTGGTCGACACCACTGGCCTCAACCAATCCCACCTGTCCCAGCACCTCAACAAGGGCACCCCCATGAAGACACAGAAGCGGGCTGCTCTGTACACCTGGTATGTCCGCAAGCAGCGAGAGGTGGCCCAGCGTAAGTACGGCTGACTGCAGCCCCGCCTCCCCCGGCAGGGCTTGGGGCTCAAGGGTGGGACCTGGAATTTTCCCCACTCTATTTCTCCAACTGAGACTGAGGGGGAAGTCAGTGGGATTCGATTAAATATATGACTTACTATGCACAAGGGATTCTGGGGGGCAGGGAGCAGGGTCCCGGGCATCCAGAGATGGGTAGGCTGACTCTCTGCCTTCCAAGAGTTCTCTGTATGGTGGGGAAGCAGAAGGAAAGCTCATTAAGATACAGTGGAACATACATTACAATGCAATAGCAAAGTAACACTAGCACACTCACTGTGTGCCCGGCCCAGGCCAAAGCCCTACACAAAGTATTTCAAAGTAGTGAGTTGCCAGAAGGAGCGAGGGATCTATTCTTCCTCAGGGAGGCAGGGTGTCAGGGAGGACTACATAGAAGTAGGACCTTCAACTGGCTTTTGAAGTATGAGTTCAACTTGGATCCATGGAAATGCAGGGAAGGGTGTTTCAGGCAGAAGGAACAACATGAGGAGACTCAGAGGCAGGTGCACAGTGCACCTCATTGCACATCACGGAGGGCCTATTACTCAGACGATGGCGGGCTTCCTTAAGCAGGCTTTATACCCTGCCAAATCCTAAGTTCACTTACCTGTCTGTAGGTAAACTACTTAGATTTTTCCTCTTAGTTATCTGGTTTTTAAAAAGGCAATGGAGGCTTTAATTTTAATTTAATTCCTCCCAAAGGAACCTCTGGCATTCCATCTGGTGTCTCCTTCCAGAGATATTTTATGCATATATTAACAATATATACAGATATACACGTATTATAGATATAGGAACACGTATATTATAGCATTGACCCCTGCAGAACAGAGTTTGGGACTCCGTGGACTCATTTCTATGTGGCTCTTCATGTAAACAGTGGACATAAATGCACGATACCCACAAATACAGTCCAGCACTATATATTTATTTTCTCTTTCTTAGGAGTTTCTTAATCACATTTTCTTTTCTCTGGATTCCTTTATTGTACGAATACACTGTTGTACACTAGAAAGTGCAACAATGTGCCAGTCTTCTATGGATGCTACGGGTGTGGTCCAGGAACGAGCAGACACCAGCACACTGCCATTAAGGCAGGGCCAGGCTGGATTCAGAATGCTTCAGCTTTCTCCTCACACCCTCTTTCTGGTCCAGGACCTCCGCCAGTTGTAGACGGTTTACAATTAGTTGTCATTTCTACCTTGTCTCTTCTTGGTTGTGACTGTTTCTCAGATTTCCCCTGTTTTTCGTGGCCTAAACAAGGACATTTTTTAAGCTGAAATCTTTTCATTTTTTTTTTTAAGATTTATTTATTTATTTGTACAGAACTGGGATACAGGCCAGAGATGCGGAGGGTGAGAGTCTTCACCAGAGACAGAGCGGGGAGCAGAACAGGCAGATCGACGAAGTACACTGCTGAGGGGAGCAGCGGGCGGGTCAGGAGAGGTCTGCCGGGCCATGTGGTCACCTCCGGGGCAGGCGGGGATCGAACTCATGCGGAAGTGGCTTTAGATTCTCAGTGCTGTGCTTTAACCCGCTGCGCCACCAGGGAGGGCCTGAAATCTTTTCATTTTGGGAGGGCCAAGTCATAGTGCCCTGCCCTGTGTGCCAGGTCGTGGCCAGATCCCTGCCTGGCGAGGCTGGGGGTGTAGACAGTGGGGCCACTGGGCGCCAGTGTGATGCCCCAGCCACTGCTCTGTGATTGTTGGATTCTTGCCAAGTTGGCATCTCGTCACTTCTCTGATTGGCTTTTGAAGTGTCTAACTGGTGCCTCTTGGTATGTGATGCTGGGGTACCCCTGTTCCTATCTCCCATCTAGCAATTTTCCTTGCTCCCCTTTCACAAAAACATGCTGGCCCCTGTGTGTCCCAACCTTTCTGTGGCTGGCTCAGGGACAACCCAATAGACTAGTTTCCACTAAACAGGAGGCAGCTGACAAGGGCTGACTGACTTTCTTCTCTCCTGGCTATCCTTTGCCTATAAAGCCTGATTTCTCAGTCTGGAAAGTTGCAAATAGCTCAAAATCTCCTTAGGAGATAGAACTCGTTTCTGCTCTGTTGTGAGACCCTAGGCAAAACAATCTCCCTGACAGCAGCTTCCTCGTGTGTAAAATGGGCTAGCAAACATGTGAGCTCTGAATAAACTCTTATGCTTGTCTGGAGCCTCATATCAGGAAGGATGGGGAGGTAATTTCTTGGCTCAGTACATCAGTGTGTAGGAGTTGATTAGTGATGTCTGCCTTGGACACAGGTTATGAAAGCAGTGGCATGTTTGGTGTGTGTGTGTCACTCCTGGAGTCGATGATTTTTAAGTTCTAGATGTAAACACTTCTGTACCCATACCCTGGGAATGGGAAACCATCAGGGGTATTATCGGGAAAACCCATGTGGGAAGGTGGGAGAGGCCGGTGCTCTGTTCACATCTTTCTGTGCCTGCAGAGTTCACCCATGCAGGGCAGGGTGGGCTGATTGAAGAGCCCACAGGCGATGAGCTACCAACCAAGAAGGGGCGGAGAAACCGTTTCAAGTGGGGTCCAGCATCCCAGCAGATTCTGTTCCAGGCCTACGAGAGGCAGAAGAACCCCAGCAAGGAGGAGCGAGAGGCTTTGGTGGAGGAGTGCAATAGGTAGGGTGGCTGGTGGGTTGAGGACTGGCGGGGTCTGGGCTGGGGAAGCAGAGGTGGGCTACAGGGCGGGGGAGGCTATCCTGTCTTCAGAGCTGTTGACCCAGGAGTTCTCAATTCCTGCTCAGGGACTGAGCTCTACAACCTCTCCCCCACCTCAACCCCCCAAGCATCCCTCGAATGGCTGCTGCTCTCATTGTATCCGCACTACAACCCTGTGGCTATTCTGCTCATTTTATGAATGGAGTCTAAGGTAGCTATGTCATTTACTCAAGGTCACACAGGCAGAACTGGGTTTGGAACCCAGATTTGCCAGCCTCAAACACTCAGGTAGAGCCCCACTTCGCAGGACCCTCCCCTCAACCTCAGGAGAGGGTTCTCTGAGCCTGGCCTGGGGGCTCACAGTGGCCTTTTCTGCAGAGCGGAGTGCATCCAGAGAGGGGTGTCACCATCGCAGGCACAGGGGCTGGGCTCCAACCTCGTCACGGAGGTGCGTGTCTACAACTGGTTTGCCAATCGCCGCAAGGAAGAAGCCTTCCGACATAAGCTGGCCATGGACACATACAATGGGCCCCCGCCGGGACCAGGCCCCGGTTCTGCGCTGCCGGCCCACAGCTCCCCTGGCCTGCCCCCACCCACCCTCTCCCCTAGTAAGGTCCATGGTGAGTCTACACGGGCGGGGGGTTCAGGGAGGTGGTAACGGGACATGAGGGTAGGTGGGAAGGCTGGGCGGACTTGGGCTGGTTCCATACCATTCTACTCTACTCTAGTTAGACGACTCTGCGCTCCATCCACGCCACCCCCTCCTGTCAATCTAACTTCAGTTGGGTTATTTCCTTCCCATTCTTTCATTTCAGATTGAGTCCTCACCATCCACTTCAATGCTGTTCTCTACTCAGTCATCAAAGTTAGCTCATTTAAACTTGGTATAGTTTAATCCATTCCCATTCCCATCCAATCCATTCAGTTTCCCTAAATGTAATTCAAAGAAATTCGGCTCCTGTGGTAGAGTCCAGTTCAATGTGATTCCATTCAGTTCAGCTCAGTCAAGCTCCATTCATTTCAGTTCCAATAGACCTGGATTCCAGCTCATCCTATTCCAGCTCTGCCCAGCGCCGCTTCATTCCATTAGTCTGAATTCCGTTTGGTTCAACTGTGGTTTAATGAGCACTTACTGCATGTCAGGCGTCGCCATAGGCAGTGGCAGGCAGAGCTGACCGCGTACAGGAGGGGAACATGAGCAGTTTGCGGGCTGCCCAAGGATGACGCTTCTGCCCAAGCAAACTGTGTAGGCTGGAGAGATGTGGGCCGTGGAGGTGGTGAGGGTGGGGCAGGGCAGTGCTGAGGCTGGCCTGTGCCCATTCCAGGGGTGCGCTATGGACAGCCCACAACCAGCGAGGGAGCGGAAGTGCCTGCAAGCAGCGGGGGTCCCTTGGTGACAGTGTCCACTCCCCTGCACCAAGTGTCCCCCACTGGCCTGGAGCCCAGTCACAGCCTGCTGAACACAGAAGCCAAGCTGGTGCGTATCCACCGCCACGGGAAACCCCTTCCAAGCTCACCATCTTCCCTGGACTGGGGGATCCTGAAGTGGTCCCCAGGGATAAGGTGTGGGGCTTCACCCTGACTCAGCCTGGCTTCCCCTCCAAGGTCTCAGCCACTGGAGGCTCCCTCCCCCCTGTCAGCACCCTGACAGCACTGCACAGCTTGGAGCAGACATCCCCAGGCCTCAACCAGCAGCCCCAGAACCTTATCATGGCCTCACTTCCCGGGGTCATGACCATCGGGGCCGGTGAGCCTGCCTCCCTGGGCCCCACGTTCACCAATACAGGCGCCTCCACCCTGGTCATCGGTAAGCTGGTGAAGATGAGGGGTGGGGGAGGCAGGGTAGGGGGCACAGGGGACTCCCATAGACTCCTGGGGCTGGAAGAGCCACGGGGGCCCGTCTGGCTGTCCGTCCGTCCATGCATGCGTGTGTGCCCTATGCCAGGCTCTGCGCCCCATCAGTGACACGGTCACACAAAAGAGCCAAACCAACCAAGGGCTTAGCAACCGCAGTGGGGGGCAGTCAATACACATAGAACGTAAATGGCATCTGAAAAGGTGCAATGTTTATGGAAAACAGAACAAGGAAAGTTGGGGGCGGGTTGAGGTTTTCCAAGTTTGGGTTTTTTAAGCTCAGAAAATGATTTGCAGGGCCTACGTGCAGAAGCTTAAAATAGAAGGCCGAGAGGCATTGCAGGGGGAGGGACCAGTGATAAGCCTCAGAGCCTTTGCTATGTGGCAGCCCCCAGGGCCCCAGGAAACCTGGTTTCACACTCCCAGGCCTCTGTAATGAGCCAGAGGCTGAGAGAGCAGGAGTGACTTGCTAGGGCCCTGGAAGTTAGGGAGGTCCTGGTGCCTGGGTGTTTTCTGACTGCCTGTCCTGGTGCTGGGAGGGAGGGTGCAGGGGGTCTGTGCGGGTGAGGGGGAATTCGTGGTGGGAGGCCTGGTTGACTCCTGCCCTCCTGCTCCAGGCCTGGCCTCCACACAGGCACAGAGCGTGCCGGTCATCAACAGTATGGGGAGCAGCCTCACCACCCTGCAGCCGGTCCAGTTCTCCCAGCCACTGCACCCCTCCTACCAGCAGCCACTCATGCCCCCGGTGCAGAGCCACGTGACCCAGAGCCCCTTCATGGCCACCATGGCCCAGCTGCAGAGCCCCCACGGTGAGCGCCCCGGGCCCTGGCTCGGCAGGTGGTGGCGGAGATCGGGGCCTGATGGGCACAGGGGAGGCCAGGGGGCTTAGATCCGTGGGGTCTGAGTGAGTGCGTGGCACAGTGCCCATGCGTCTGTGACAGGTGTGACTGTGGGCCAGGACATGTGTCCAGTGGCTGCGTGCACATGCACATGTGTGTGCGGACAGCTGTGTACATGAGGGTTCGTATGCTCAGGAGGGCCTTCCTCTACAACCCTGGGTAGGGCCATGGTGTTTCAGTTTTTCAGGTGCCACACCCCACAACCCCACTCCCACCCAGGACTGGGGGGAGCACCCGTCTCCAAAGCAGTGTGATTTTTACAGCAGGAGGTAGAATTCCATGGAGTAGCTTTTTTTTT